ATCTGTGTTTAACTACAGATGCATCATATTTGTCTTGCTCCTGTGAAGATCAGGTCAAACTTACTGCTGGTTTGAGCAGTCCTGGCTACATTTTCTACATTTTTAGGCACTGTATTGTCTGTATGTCTTTGTAGGTCCTCATAGTCCATCAGAACACCATGGCAACGGCGACTGTAAGCGGCAGGAGACACAAGCTCCTTCCAGCCAGACGGCGTCTGCCTCCCATCTCGACCTCAACTTCCCCCTGCCTGGAGAGAAAGGCCCCTCCTGCCTGGTGAAGGTGCGTCTCTTGTCATTCATTTTCAGCGGTGAACAGTGCATGTATCGGTATCTGGCATCAAACATTTGTTGAAAGGAGATTAAAAGACAGAAGTCCAAGTGTAAAACAGATGCTACAAGGTGTGTGTGTGGTCGGCAGGTGTACAAGGACTGGGACAGCTTCAAACTGAACGACACCCTGGAGGTCTACGGGATCCTCTCCGTCAGCCCTGCTCTCAGCGCTCTGGCCGACGAGAAGTGAGACACACAATTCGATCTCGTTTTCTTCCGGCAGCGAGCCGCCTGTTTGTTACTCATTCTTGGCATTTGTGCACAGAGACGCCTCCTCACCCCTCCTGGACCCTACAGAGAGCATGGAGACAGCAGAGGAGCAGAGGGTGCACAGCCCGCCAGCCTCGCTCGTTCCCCGCCTCCACATGCTCTACGCCAAGCCGCTGCCACACAACAACCCCCTGCTGCCCCCCGCCACCTTGGAGGACAACAGTGCCTGTAAGGACAAATAGTAGAGGAGGAATGGTCTGAGCTACTCTTTTCTTTTTTTTCCCCTCCACTCCCTCTGTGTGTGACTGTAAAAGCCAGTAATCATGAATATTTCAACCTCGTTTTTGGAAAGAAATCGTTCCCTTCACACAGTCAGAAGATAACTAGGGAAATATTTACTAAGCCGGCAACAAAGTACCAGCAGGGGCACAAAATTTAGCATCATTTTTCACACAGATGTGAACGAGCCAGAAGCAGGTATTCTGGTTGGAAAGCTGGTTGACACTTTTGGCGCTACAAGCTTGTATTCTTCCCACAAGACAAACACTGTATGAGTAAATATTAACTCGCCTCACGCTGTCTGTTCAGCAAACGCATTCAATGTTTGATGATGAATCAATGTGGGCGATTTTAAGTACAACATTGACCCTCTGACTTGATAAATATTATCAGTGGTGCTTCTGCAAAACTCCGGTGACACATAATGCCTTTTTATTTAAACCGTTAATCAGACAAAAATGTAAAACATTAGTTGGTTCCACCTTCTTAAATGCTCTTTTGCTGTCCTAATAAAAATCTGTTTGATGTCTTTTGGGTGATCTCGCATTGCTGGTCATCAGTGGAACAAAAATCAGCGAATAAAGATATAATCATCAGCTGCGGCGGCGCTAATCAGATTCCTCCATCTGTGTGCTACTGGGATTCGAGCTATTTTGAGAACCCTATATTAGACAAAGAGTCAACATAAACTGTAGTTACAGTCACATTATCAAGTCGCCCTCCAGCTGTGTGCAGAAGCAGAGAAAAGGGCCCATTTTATCCAAGTTAATTAGTCGTGTAAAGCTTTTCAAGACGAGGAATAATGCAGCGAATGTTTTCCGCTGCCGAGCTTTAAAAGCACACATGCCTGTAGTTGCCATAGGGACCTGTTTTACCAAACTGTCCTCTGCCCTCAGTTTTATCTTCGACCCTGAGCGAGATGGCCTCCGTCAGGGAAGAGATGCTCTCGTACTTCACTCATGTCCTCCTGGGAGACGCTCTGGCTGCTGAGTACCTCATTCTGCATCTCATCTCTAACGTGTAAGTCCACTGTTTAGTGTTTAACTAAGGAAACTTCCTGTTTTCGTTTTGTGGCTTCACGCTAAAGCAAAGGAACAAATTTCATTTCACAGTGTGGTTGATTTTTTTTCTTTTTTCTTCTCCTTTGTAGTTACTCCAGACGGGATGTTCTCCCACTGGGAAAGTTCACGCTGAACCTGAGCGGCCTTCCTACTGTGGCCTCGTACGCGGAGCGTTTCTACCAGATCATCCAGGAGCTTGTGCCTTCTGTGAGTTGTCAATCAAAGCGACTGCCAGTACTGCCAGGTTTATTTTGGATTTCTTTGTGGTTGAGATCAAACGCACTGAAGGTTTTTCTCCTCTGCAGTCGCACTACTTGGCCATGAGCCTCCAGAACATGAACCAGATGAGGCTGGTGCCTAAGAAGGACTATGTGGCCAACCGACTAGTGAGCGGCGCCCTGCAGCTGGCCAGAAACACTTCCCTCTTCGTGGATGAAACCCAGTTAGAGCAGGGACAGCTGGACACAACTGGTGAGGCTCCCAGAAACCACAAGGGGACGACACTGAGAGGATAAACTGCAATGTATCCCGTCCCTGCAGCCCGCTGTCACTATTAGCACTAACCAGGTTGGATCTTTTTCTCTGTTTGTGTTTTGTGCCGTAGGTGTGCGTAACGTCACGGCGCTGGGGAACCTGATCTCGTGGCAGAAGGTTGATTATGACTTTAACTACCATCAGATGGAATTCCCCTGCAATATTAACGTGCTCATCGCGTCAGAGGGCCGCTCTCTGCTGCCGGTGAGGACAAAGAGGGATAAGGCGTGCAACCGCAGAGTGAAAACTCACCCCCACCCTTCACTGATCCCTCCCAACACCCCCCACCCCACTCTCCCCGGCATGGCCAGGGAGGGGTTAGGTTTCCTCCAGTCTCTCATGAGACAGAGCTGTGTCAGACGCCGGAGGTTGTTTCCAGCCAACGTCACAGTGTCATCTCACCTGCCATTGGTCAGTCGCAGCAAGCCCTTCAGCCGGCGGCTTTAGCCCGGGTCTCGCTCTGCTGCGAACAGCCCAAGGAATGTGCTGTGTGCTATTCCTGTGTGTTGGTCTGATGGGTTGCCATGGTGGCAGCTGTGTGCTACAGGAACAATCCTGGGAGAGGCGTCAGCCTCGGCCATCTATTAGTCCAACAGTGAAGGGCAGCACGCTGTAAACAACTCCCACAGTTGATTAGAAGTCAGAGGTACATGTCTGTGTTTACAGTGAACTGCAGTTGGCTGATGAGCAGCTGGAGGGTCAACCTGATCAGATACTTCACAGTCAGCTTGCCAAGGCTTTGCTCCTGTCTGGCATACTATGAAGTTTTGAGAATATGCCAAACTAGGCGTGCACACAACAGGCAGGGCCTACTTTTGCATAGCAACACTTGTTTAAAAAAAAATAAAAAAATAGACATGCTGTTCTTTGAACAGAGTTCCCTCGTGGCACAGTGTCAGTGTTTTGTTTCCTCTTTGTCTCCACAGTCTGACTGTCAGATACACCTACAGCCTCAGGTTGCTCCATCCCACTTGGAGGAGTATCTCAGCAGCATCCACATGCATCCACAGGCCTCATCACAGCTGAACAAGTTCAGAATCTACCTGAGTGTGGCTCGGCTGCTGGACTACAGCATCTCAGATGAAGTGACAAAGGTGAGGAATGCTCTCATCTTCGGTTTAAATCAGGGATGTCGAACTGCGGTCCTCGAGGGCCGCAATCCTGCATGTTTTAGATGTTTCCCTCTTCCAACACACCTGATTCAAATGATCAGCTCATCATCAAGCTCTGCAGAAGTCTGATAACGATCCTGATCATTTGAATCAGGTGTGTTGGAAGAGGGAAACATCTAAAACATGCAGGATTGCGGCCCTCGAGGACCGGATGTCGACACCCCTGGTTTAAATTGAATTGCACACAAATGAATCTTGAAACTAACCTTAGGTCAGTTGTACCTTTGTGTGTTTGTCTGTTCATTAGAATGCATTAGTGTATTTTAACTGCTTGTCTTTTTTTCTGGTGTCCACAGGCAGTTGAAGATGACTTTGTAGACATGAGAAAGGATGACCCCCAGAGCATATCTGCAGAGGACCTCCACAGGATGCTGGTTGTGGCGAGGTGGGCTGTGATTACGGATCAGTCATCACCCTTACTTAGCGTTTATTTCCTTTTCTTTTCGTGAGAATATTAACGGCTCATAAAGCTTCTTTCAAAAGGCAAAGTGTTAAACAACAATGAGTCATTGTGATCAACTCTGAAAATGCCATGCGTGACATAAGCAGGCTGACTCCAACTTCATGGGTCAGCGCAGCCAAAATAAAAACGGTGTGTCATTTTGACTTGCTGTGCGTGTCAGCCAACAGAGCTCATTCCAGCTGAGATATGTTTGAGTTTATGTGGCTAATGGTGTCTCTGTCTGCAGGCTGCTGTCTCTGAGCCTGGGACAGACCTCTCTGTCCAGAGACTGCTGGCTGAGAGCCAAACACACCGAGGTGCTGCGGAGGAGTCGGATGGAGCAACACAAGTGTGTCAACGGCAACGAGCAGTGATCACACAGAGGCAAATGTGACGGCTTTTGTTTTTTTTTTTTCCTTTCTTTTGATACCTAAAAAATTTGTAATAAAGATGTTTTTCATGCGTTCAACTTTTTTTTTTTTTACTGTACTTATTTGCATATAAGAGTTAGATATATTTTCACTTAAAAGACTAATGGGAATTAGGAAATGTGTTCGGCTTGTATGTAAAATACATTTGGGTTGTATGTACAGTAACATGGCTGCTCTCACTTTGCCTTAAACCTGCTGTGGGGCTCATGCCAGCAGTTTACAAGTTTTTCTGCAGACCAAAACTTCTGTTTACAAAAAAATCTCTTTTTTTTTACTTCAAAAATATGTAGATACAGTCCAGGGTCAGGAGGATTATTTCTCATGGTGCATTTCCTCTTGAATCGATACACACTTTGCGAGCTGCCAGCATATTTAAAAAGCAAACTGTTGCATTTGTTGGCATGGCTCCCTCCTGTTGATGGTTCTGACAATAAACCTCATGCAACACTCTTCACTCATACTTTTTATTCCAAACGAATATCTTCCCTAGATAAAAAGTGCACAGTGCACTTTTGTTATCAAGTAACACACCCCAAGAAGATAAGAATAAATAGGATACTTTAATATACAATACAATCTCAGTACACTGTGGAAAACAATGACAAACAGTCAGTTGGTAAGGAGGAAAGATATGACCACAGACATTCAGATGAAAGGGTGCTAATGCTAGAAAATGTGCTTAAACAGTGCAAATCAAATGCTTGAAGATCTCTAGTCACAAGATAATTTGTTATGATCTGGGGTCCTAACGGGAGACGACCGTAGATGACAAACGAAGGTGACGGCAAAAGCACTTGGTGTGAAAACTTAAGTAAAGACACATGTCACCCAGCAAATACAGGATCAAATACAACTGTCAGCTTCTGCATATCAAAAGCAAACACCAGCGCTCTGGCGTCGTGGTCTCTATCAGGAATGTTGAGGATTACTGTTCCTTGTAGCTTCATACAGCTACTTTAGTGCAGAATAAATTTCTGCTCTTCTTAAGAACTGCTCCAGTGTTTTGCATTCTGAAGGAAGTTAAAAAAAAAAACAACCAAACACCTTTTACCCTCTGCGTTAAAACTTTCCATTGCAGCTATCACCCTAAAGCTTTGGCAGCACCACGCACTATCAGCAGCACCCACAAAGCAGCCAGTCTGATTTAACACAATAATAAAGAGAAAAATATACAAGTATCCCACATCTTATCTGCTGGTGAGCAAGCTGAATGCAGAAAACAGGCAAAAAAATAACACAAAATATGAAAAACGGTGAACCTTTATCTTGAGATATTTCAGCTCAGAGAAAACCAGATTATTGTTTATTATAAACAGACACAGTAGGATAAGGTGGCTATGGGTTCAAATATCCTCTGGTGATGTATAACAAGCTCCTCTGGGAGATTTTTACGGAATGACAACAACTGTAACGGGTGACTGAGGCGAAACCGCAATTCTTGAGGTTAGTGAATAAAATGTACAATATAACAATGTTTACAGCTTCATACCATATAAATATACTTTTGGGGTCTAAGGCAAGCACTCCTAAATACCAGCAGCAGCAGGGATGCTCTGACAAACTCACACATACTGTACAGCACATACACACAAGCAACACACCGTTTACATCTCTAAAACCTGCTCATTTCCACGTACGTGCCAGTGTCCAGATGAAATATCCCAAGATAAAGCTCGATGACATACAGTAACCCTGATCATGATCTTTTATACAGTACACCAAATGTAACATGTAAAGAATGGACTTAAAAAGGTAGATTTTGCCATAAATACCTGATATACATAATCCCACTTCAATTCCCTGTTAAGGCAAATATGCTTTCAGTTTGGGGAGTGCATAAAGCGTCAGTGTTTCTAATAATCGGGTGGGTGCGATTGCATATATACCTACTATATGCTACTCTCCTGTCTTTGTCAAACATGCAGTGTCAATGTACAACGCTGTCCAAGGATTCAAGTCAAACAAACCCTCGTATAGCCCGTTAGTACAACCATAAGCAGAATAGTTATTTCAGTACATATCTCTATCAAAAAAACAACTCCAACCAGTGGCATTCTGGTTATTTCATGGGTAGCAATGACAGCACTGTTCAAAATATAATGCTCGAACCTCTTTAAACATATTAAGCTTCCACCCTACCATCGATACAAAAAGCTTAAGGGAAAGCTCTGCTCGGGGACAGATAAACAATACTCACTGTACATATCGACAACCAGGATACTCTTACAAGGTCTTGTGTAGTTATTATTTCTATAACGGTATATCTTCTAAGTTACACTTGACAACACTGATATTACATAGGATACCTACATACAGTATGTCATCTGGCTAGTTTCTGACAGCTATACAAAGGGTAATATTCAACATGGAGTTGTCTTTTGGGAACCACAAAAGATATTTGGTTGGTTTCTACAACTGTTACAAATTGAAGGTTATTACGAGTTCTATATCACAAACGCCAATAAGTGACCTGCACATACAGGATGACATACAGTACATGATAAAGTCAGAGTTGGTCTTTCAACATGCAGCTAATGCTTACCTGCCTTTTCAAAATGACTTGTTACCATTAACCTCACATGCAAGCGTTGTGGGTCATTAAATAACTTCAGATTAAGGACAGTGACTTGTTTACATACACAAAAGTACTGTGTACCACTCTGGCAGTACAAGTTTAAAACATCTTAAAAACCTAAATATCTTATTTATTGTTAGTTATTTGTCTCTCAAGCTTATCATAGTAAGAAAACTCTACCTATAGAACAATATACTTCAACAGTAGAAGTGTTTCTGGAGGGATTTAGACTTTGCATGGAACACACACTGATCACAATGACAGTTGTACCCTTAGGAGTTATTATTGATTCTTTAAATACTCAAATGTGCCATTTTTATATTCAGTCAAGGTATTGTATACTACTACTTTAAGACATTTATTTTAGAAATGTCATGGTATTTCCATTATTGGAATATTCAGGAGGGACAACTGATGATTAAATCATAAAAGGGAGGACATCAGATAATAATATTAATCAGTGTGCAAGGTTACATGTCTCACATCAGTGCTCTTAGGAATACGAGAATCCATAATCATGTGCACGTAAACATGGTCACTGTCCTGTTGGGCTTGGGGATGTATTTGTCAATTCTGTACAAGAGTCATTGTTAACGTGGGCGAGTTTTGAATCTAAGAGCACATTTCTTGGCCAGGTAGTGACGCTATGTGCAAGCTTTTGCTACTGCTACCACACAGGAAGTTTTTACATGACGTACGACTACAAAATCCTGCTACAAGGAAAGCACTAGATCTGAATGATCCTGGTCTGGCACTGTGTAAACATTGCCTTCAGCTCGCTCTCTTGGGCCTCATTGACAGTGTCTGGCTCGGGGCTCTTCTGTACCTTTGCAACAGCAAAGTTGATGCCCTGGGTGAGTCCCGCCTGGGTGAGGCTGGCCACCTGGACCATGGAACTCTTGATCTTGGCAAAGGGGGACACCACTCGGCTGCCGTTGCTGTCAGCAGGTGAAGGCCCGAGGCTGCCCTCCAGCTGTGAACCCAGACTCCTTTGAGAGCCACCTGAGGCTGCAGAGCTGGGCTTTTGGACGGTCAGGAGGTTGGAACTGGAGGTAGAGGATTGGACGTCTAGCTGAGATGGCCTGGGGAGCTGGGGCTCTTCTTGCTGATTCTGCGGCTCTGAGCTTGGCTGCTTGTCTGAGTCTGCTGGGGTCTTATTCTGCACAGGCACTACAGGGTTAAGTGAAGGTACAGGAGGTGGTGGCTTCTCTCCAAACACCTCAACAGGTTTGGTCTGTGCATCCTGGACGAACTGGTGGCAGTAGGCATCAATGGGAGTACCAAAGTCAATCAGAATGGCTTCTTCAGCCACTGAGGCGGCGCCGGGGGACTTGTCATCACTGACTTGAGAGGAGGTGTCTTGCTTTCCATCACAGCCAGTGACCCGGATAACAGAAGGGATATTTAGCTCCACGCTACCGATGGACTGGGAGCGGCTACCCAGTCGTGGGTTTGATGCTACAATGCCGCAACTGGGCAGGACATAGTCCACATTTTCTAAAGAGCCAGAGCACGGATGCTCCGGGTCTGAATTATAGGAGTCTGAGTCCGAGGACATGTCATAGTGCTCGTCACCCATGTCTTTTAGGGCTCCTGTGCCAGGGTTGTTTTCTGATGTCTCCAAGCTGCTGTCTGACTTCCACAGGTTGACATGCATAGTTGGTTTTAGGAAATTGACTTTTACATCAGGCTTAGAGAAGTTGCCAAGCTTTCCGAGGGGCTTGAAGGTGCCGATGTTTACGTTTGTTTTGGTCTGCTTCACTTTCTGATTGAGAGACGAGAATTTGTTGAGAAGGAAACTTTTCCCCTGTGCCAGGCCAGAGCTGCCCTGAACTTGGTCAGCAGGTTTGTTCTGGATGCCCATTATATCCTCATGAGGTTTACTCTGCCGCCTGGAACACAGATACAAACTTCCATGAGTCACAACTCGTCATTAGTTAAAGGTTAGCGCTCCACTGCGACGCCTGGAAATGTTTATCTCTATTACAATTAAATCATGTCAGCGAGACACAGAGATGAATGCTAATTATCTTAATAACCCCAAATTAGTGCTCACCTCTCCAGTTTCTTTTCAACCACAAGCAGGTCCAACCCCGTGGCCTGTTTAGTTATGCGGAGCATCTCGGCAATGCACTGTAATGTATCTGAAACATGACACAATGCAAGTCAAACGGTATCTGTAGCGTTTATCATTCAAGGGTTTGCTTTTCTTGCTGTTTAAAGAAATGAAAGAACTACACCTTACCTTTTCCATCATCCTCAGGATTTCGTGTTGCTGCTCTCAGTGTGTGAAAGTATCCACTTGTCTCTTCATTCCTATAGTGCAAACGCATACAGCAGAACTTTGGCTTCCCAAACAGAGTAGGCTCAGGACCTGTAAAAAAAAATGTATAACATCCTCTTTTAGTCATTTGCTTTCCTTGCATGAATCATAATCAGTGAAGATACTGCTAAAAGGTTACTGAGCAACTGCTAAGCACACTTTTGGGAAGTGTTGTGTGACTCAGTGGGGGTACAAGAACCTTTACTTCTCCTTTGAGTGCAACGTCTTACCAATTTCAATCTTTTCCAAACCCTCCAAGTTGAGACGTTGGTATTGGTTCACTTTATCGGCCTCTTCATCGTAGCTACGAGGAGGTAAATGCAAACGTAAGCGAAACCATAAAAGTAATTTCGAAAGATGACATATTTAAAGTCAGACTTACTAAGCAATGTAATAGGCCTTGTCAGACAGGAGCAGCAGCACATCCACGTCTTTGTTGGTTGCGTCAATGAGGCTGGTGGGAAATAGGAGATCAATATGATAAAAACTGCACTGAAAAACGTCTAAATAGAATCAAATGTGCTCTTCTTCTACATCCCTGGTTATTTTAAGCATCAACATTTATACACAACAACTGGCCACTGACCTCATGTCACAATTGATGAGCGCCCAACCGCCGTGAAACTTCTCATCATCCGGCAACAAAAGCTGCATGTAGGTCTGCAGAAGGAGGCTGACCTGCTCCTGGGCTCCTCTCTGGCTCTCCTTCTCTTTTTCTTCATGTTCTTTCTCCTTACTGAAGATGGAGTAAAGGTCCTCCGTCACCGGCAGGCCCATCATCAGATCTGCAGGGAGAGACAGAAGAATGTCAGACAGGTTTTTCAACCACATGGGCGGAGAGACAGCGTAGATACGCATGCACAGCTGTGATATGTTTTTCCATACCAATGACTGCTTGTCTGTAAGCATCCCTGAAACGGTTCAGATAGTAGCGGTTGGCTGAGTTCACGCCATCCTTCATCACACCGGCCAGTTTCCTCTCCCCCGTCCTGGTGAAATCTCCCTAAAACAAAATACAAAATGTGTGTATTAAATCTGCCTTTTATCTCATCTTTAAGGCCCTCTGGAATTAAAGTCTCTTTTCAAACTTGCATTCAAACAGATTTTTTTGGCCTCTTGGAGTTGTGAGCAAACAAACAATGACTTATTTACACATTCACAATAATGGCGCATTGTTATTCTTTTGGAGTTGTGTTTCTGTTCACCAGGCAGTAACTCCAATATTAACTTTTTTTTTTTGTAACTATTTTGGGTATGTACCAAATCCAGAGGAAAATATCTGGCTCTTTAGATACATGTAAGCCTAATGCCAATACTCTCCCCCACCCCTTCTGGCCCTATGACTTGGTCCTTTACTTCCTTTTTGCAAGTTTCCGTTTAGGGTTGGGTGTCTTGTTTCTTTTGATCAAGGAGTCGTAGCGCTCATCTAGCCCTATTAATGGCCCTCCGTGTTCAGTTTGGAGGGCTAGATGACCACTACCACTCGATCCCCGAAAGAAATGGGACACTCTACCCTGTGCAGTAGCCAGCAAAATGGCAGGATAGGGCCAAGGAGGGACATTGGGAGTAGGCCTGAGGTAATGGGCCAGATATTTAAACAGTGAGGGCGCACTCACTATAAAAGGTCTATAAAACATGGGGGAGTTACATGTTCAATTGATAATTCTCTGTAGATTCAGCCTAGCCGAAATAAACCCCTTTCCCATTGTCATAGAGAAATATAAAGTATAGCTGCTTAAATTCCAAAAAGCTCAGTTGAGATTTCTGTCATTCTGATGCATTCAAGCTACTGAAATACAAGTCAATTTGTTGGATCAAAAACTAGTAAACTATTCACTAAATACTGTTTAACTGAGCAAACACTGGTGTAATCGTCAATGTGTGCTTAAAGACAATAATGTTAACCTTGAGTGCTGCCGTTCCTGCATACTGCCTGCTGATGGTGTCGCCATTGTTGGCCCACATGACCTGATAAATCCTGTAGCACTTGACAGGCAGAGGCTGCTCTGGAGGCATCACACCCAGTTTCTTTAGCTGCAGGGAGAACAGTGGATCCAGTGAATCACGCTTCAATAGTTGTAAAGACTTTGAAATGCCAGCTTTAGAAAGCAGTCATATAAAAACCGCACAATATATTTAGGAGACACGACCTGCAAGACATGGCAGACAAATGTGAAAAATGTATGTGAATTTATTTGCCTGGATCTAGAAAAGGAAAAATCTCACCTGCTGTTCCATTACCACACGAGCAATAGCAGCTTGGACCACATTGGTCCTGTCAAGACAGTCCATACAGTTTACTCTGAAGATTCCATCCTGCTTGCAGATGACTCCTGCTTGGTCCACCCTGACAGAGGAAGATATGTTCATTCATAGAGATGAGCTTGATTCTAAACCCAATAATAATCAAGAACACATTACAGGCTTCATTGTTCTCTCCTCAACCCCATCATGTCATAGTGTTCATGTTACCAGAATTTCTCCAAGCAATCACAAAATACCAATTTGTAACTTACCAGGCCCATTTCATGTCAGTGATGATATCAGAAATCGCATCTGTCAGTATTTGCACATTCTCAAACTTCATACCACGGCTGAGAAACAGGATATAAGAAGCACAAAGGGGAAGTAAACGTATTGTGGTATGAAATAGACTGCTACAAATACATTCATGAGAAGTTACACTGCTGAGGAAAGTGTTTCTCTTACCAGTGCTCGTGGAAGTCAAATGAAACGTATGTGAGGTTTGAGTTGTTGTAAAGCAGGACTTGCTTTAGATATGCGTCCCCAATTATTTTTTCCCGTCCACTTTGATCCACCAAGTTAATGATCATCTGGAGAGGACAGTAAAGAGTGCTGTCATTTGGCCTATTAGAGGAGGACTAGCAAAAGTAGAACATCATCGCATGGACAAAGCTTCAGTTTATATTCTTTAAAAGGCCAATAGACTAGCTTTGCTCAGTGACATGGCTGCTACATCTCAGCAACAGCTCAGCAACACTTCTGAAAAACTACCGAAAGATTACCACAACTATACTTATCAGCATGCTGTCAGGGTAATTTTTCGTAACCACAGGAAGCTATTTTTAGGTCAAACACCGGAACTCCGGTAAGAACATTGAAACTATATGCAGCCACAGGTGGGAGAATAACCAAAGTGGTGATTTTAAAATAAGAATCTCAACACAAGACTGATACATGCATGTACTCACTAAATAACCTAAGCACATACATACATGCACTGTGGCAAAGCAAACCCACCTGCTTCTTGTAGAGTTTAAGCTGTTCTTCAAAGTGAGAAGCAAAGTAAGACATAGTCTCCTTTTCTCCTGAAACATCAGAGTAATATGTGTACAAATAATATTCATGTCAATGATTCTGGCAAAAGACATCAAGAGATCTAAAGAGAGGTTTTACATCTTTGAAAGTTTTATGTCCAAGGCAGGAGGCTAAGAAACATGTAAAGTTCAAATAATTCTGCATATGCAATCTATAATTTCTCTAAATCAGAAAAAGGACAAGTGGCGCATGTACCACTAACAAAACAGCTATATTTTGTTAATAAGCAAGGCAGTGTCTACACAGAAAGCAACTCAGCTACATTGTTGAGTCGCCTGTCTGATCTGAAGCAATAGGTCTCTATGTTACTCTATACTACAGCTGTCTACACTGCTAACGTAACAGCTTGCACCCAAAGCATTTTAAAGGCTTGTAGTGTATTTTTTTCCCACTTTACTTGCATAACTATAGTCATTTTGCCTCAGGCTCTAAGCACTACCAAAATTAAGGCGACCTGTGCTCAACACTGTGCCAGAGCGCCCTTGTGTAGTCACAGACTGAGCACTCTCTGCTGCTGCTCTGAAAAATGTGCTGCTCACGCTATGCTTTCCATGTAGACATGATGTTAGACATAACACCCCAGACATACGTTTAAAACCAAAGAGGCCGTGTCAATTTAAAAGGTGCAGCTACAAAAATAAGTGGATCTGCAAGGCCCACTACACTTAAACAAATTTGAGAAACTGTGTGTAGGTCCATGTGAAAGATAATGTAGTTCTACTGACCTTTCTCCAAGCGTGGCCGGGGATTATAGCGGTACCCTGCCTGGCTCCAGAAGACAGGCACAGAGCCACGAGTCTGCACAAAGGATAGAGTGTGGCTGTGCACGTGGATCAACTGCTCTGTCTCCACATAGTTAGCCACATGGCCATCTGTATCCACACCCCTGCGTTTGTACCGCATCCCTTTGGGGAAGGAGAATGCATCAGCACTACTCAGATTATTTATATCACACATCATGCTTCACTTGAAGACAATACATCAATTAGCTGTAAGGTTGTAACGGATCACAAAACTCACATTATATCACATCACTGCTCTTGAGTTATGTAACAGATTATTATTCGGACCAGGCAAAAAAAAAATGGGAAGACCAATACGGCCATGACTGTCACTGTCAACTGCTTTCAACATGGCGTTTTGGTGAATGCAATTGCCTTGTATTTTGACACAGCAACTGTACATTGAGATTTGGGGATCAGAATCACTTTCCTTAAAAATGCAAGATAGGATATTGGCTTGGGAGAGGAAAGTGTTCTCCAAGTGCATGCTGGTCGCTCAAAACAGTAACAACAGCAGAAAAACTATATTTAAACTATGGTGGTTAAACTTTGCAATTAGTTCATGGTTCACACACATGCAATTTGTGAAAGAACTAATACTATACTTGGTCTGGATCCTGCATTCCCCTAAGCAAAGCTAACAGTAACTTGTAGCTCTACCTGCACGGTGGCGGCTGCGTCTAGAGATCAGCGCCACAGTAAAGCGAGGATGGATGTCATCGACACAGGTGACCTCCTTTGGCGGGGTCTCGGGGCTGCTCCGCTCCTCATCAGAGGTCTCATTGTAGTTCACCACCAGCTCCTCCACCTGTACAAAGCCCTGGATGATTGGGATGACCCAGAAGTCAACCTCCGGAACCTGGAGCATTCAAAAGGTATGAAAACAGCAGGAAAAGCAGATTAAAGCGCCGTTTGTCCGGTTGGTAAAAAGGACTTTGCATCTACAAAGTATCCAAAGAAGATAATCTTTAACTGAGAGCAGTTAACCTTTCTTTTCAGTGAGTATTTTCATACTCCGCTGATAAAGCCCTGTTATTATCAGCACATACAACTGCCACACTTGCACAGCACAGCCAACGAGGCCCTTGGAGCACACATTGATAAAGAATAAAGCACAATGACTGTATCGACAATTCTCAAAAAACACATCTAGGAATAGTGTATATACTCCGTTCAGAAACAACAATAAGCAGAACATCTGTGTATTTCTGCCTGGAAAAAAATACCTGAAGGTCAATAAGATCCTGGATCATGTGTTTGTTCCAGAAGAAACGGTCATCCACCTTTCATAGAGAACAAAAACACAATCAGTCAGAATAAGGAGTTTTTGCAATATACATACAATAAAAAAATAAAAAAAAAACTCCCATTCCATAGTAATATTTATCTCCAAACCTGTTTCCATAGGGGTAAGCCAGACTTATCAGAGTCTCCTTGACGCTGCACACTGTTTGTCAGGTCATAAGTCATGCTATAGTAGAAGGAGTCGGAGTCCATGAATATCTTGTACAGCTCATCCAGCAGTCGCCTCTCCAGACGCTCCTTCTCTTTGTTTTCTTTGACCTGGAAGGCAGGGGAATACTGGATTGGGCAGGTGGGTAGAAAACAGCCGTAAGTTGACAGAGCAAGGAAGGAAAAACCCTAGGAGGACTTCTAAGCCTTTAGAAGTAGAAAAGATGGAAAAGTAGCGTGTCAGTTTGACAATAACAGAAGACGTTTCTGCGTACAACAAAACAATACCTTTTTCTTGATGGGCACAGCCACATTAGATTTGATCTGACTAAAAGTCTTCATCAAGAACTTGGAATCATCTGGAGACTGGGCCAGTTTCTCTGGTTTATCGATTCCAAAATGATGCTTCTTGCAAAGCTGAAAAAGAGAATCCTTTGTCAAACTTCTGCACCTCTATAAATCTTAACATGACAGTTATACTTAACATGTACAAAAATGTCTGTTTGAAGAAGATAGTATAAGAAAATCTGGTACCACCTTTCTCCAGACAAGAATGTTTTATTACCGACTACAAACAATCACAGAAAAAAAGACACTAAAATAGACCACATAGTTCTAGTTTTCCTAAATGAATGCAATAAACAATCTAACACTTACACTGATCTATAGGATTTCTAGGCACGAACAGGGACAAGAGATAATTCTGCAGTACGGGGAAAATGTACAACAGGACGAGGTCTAAAAGCGCATCCACTAACGATCATCCTCCTCCGGTATTACTCACTTGAAAATATTCTGTCTCACCATCCGTGAAGCTCCCCTGAAAGACTGACATCTTAGCAATATTCAACTTTCTCTGTTATCTACTGCAGTGACTTTACGTCTGCATGTGATTTTCATTCTAATTGTGTGGGTGAAAATAAAAAAGACCTTTTAAACACATTAGAAAATATCTACAACTCATTTTCCATCACTGTGAGCCCATCTTCAGAGATGAATCATACACTGACTCACACAGAGTATTCTTGGGTACATTAAATAACAAATTAGGATTATCATAAGTACTATTATATTGATTGTCAAGGGGACTGAATGCAATGATCAAAACAAAAGTTGAATCCTCGTGTCTCATTTACAGTATCAGTATGCATACCTCCAGCTCGAGCTCCTGAGGCTCTTCGTCAGACAAGGGAATGACAGCTATCTTGGTGATCTTGTAGACTTTGTGGTTGCCGGGTAAATGGCCCACCAGTGCTTTCTGGCGGATGAGTACAAGGCCAAGTGGAAGATCTGCCAAGAGGAGAAGGAAGAAGGGGGAGTTGCATCATGGGTGCAGAATTCCTCACATTCTGAAAGGTGCGAAGGAAGCAGCTGCAAAGCAGTCATTAACTGCAGATTTTATTAATAAGGTAGCACATGACACCTGGCAAATAATCATTTACATCACGCTCATCTGTGACACATACATTTGTTCACGCACTTTCTTATGACGGGTATATTCTCAAATGCACCCTGAGGCCCACAGCAGCACACCGTCAGCAAAATCAGACTTACTGTCAACTAAATCATCATCATCTGCTCACTCATCTTCATAACTACACTCATTTCAAAGTACATTTACACATTTTTTTTACACCTTTCCGTGTGAATAAGAAATATACTAAGCACTGGATGATTTATTAACTCTAGCGTCCAGTGGCAGAAAATACTGGCAATAATGTGTCTGCTTTGTGCAAAAGCGAAAGCAAAAACAACAACAACAGAAAACAGCTGAGAGTGAAATGTTCAAAGGTTCTCCACTTACCAGTGTGAAGCTGTATCTTTCCGATGACGCCTTCCACCAAACCCAAACACACTGGGTTCCAAGCTAACAACAGGTCTGTTGCTGAAATGAAAATATGAAGATGAAACATCAGAACAGTGTTGTAAGATATGCAAAATAAGCGGCCGGTTATCTCTTGAAGGGCTTCAGCATGTGCACTTTTTTCTGTCAGAAACTGCCAAACAGTCACAGCAGCTTAACCTATGAGTTCACAGAAAATACCTCAAAAAAGTCATGGCTGGGTGATTTCCTGTTACATGCAGAAACTTGTTTCTTTAATACTCAGTAAAACACTCTCAGGTCTTAGTGATGTTAAAACTTAAGTCTAGAAATTTGCAGCACAAGCAGCAACAACCCATCAATGGAAAAATCAATCTGTGTTAATGTTGCGTGTCTGTCATGCTTCAAGTATGTTTTATATGAAAAGTACAGCCATTAAACTGAGACAGTCTAGTTTGAATTTATGAAAGAGAGTATAATTTAGCTTAAGAAAAAAGTAGATGGTCTGCATTTATTTCTCATCTTCAAACACATTTGAAGTCAATTATGGCAACGGGCTAACTTGGTGAGTCAACGGAAAACAGAAATTCATTGCCATTTGTGACGGATTAAACATTATAGTGGGGAAAATTGGAAAAATGTGAAGGGTGTGGCCAAGGGTGGCGAACACCAACTGTAAGCAGCCTCAGACAATGACTCTTCCTGTTCCACAAGCCGGAGAATTTCATGTGCAGAGGAACCGGCTGTGAGGGCCCCACAGGGAGGGTCTCGCAGAAACAAACACAGAAAACAAAACTTTCACTACAGCTTCACTCGGAACGTGTGTCGTATCGTGGAAATTATTCACTGTGTGCTTGAGTGTGGAGTGGAAACACAGTGAGGAGTGGAAACCCTTTTTCCAATTAAATAATGAAAGAGTGGTGCAACTAAAAACCTGTTCAGGATGGCTGCACAGCCACACAACTCACACCGGCACAAGGGGCCAACATGCACGGCCTTCTGGAGACTCTAATCAAACTTCTCCTTCAGTTCTTTCACGGTAACTGGAAACACATAATTCCCCACAGGCCATGGTATTCATCTGATATGACAGCATGACCAACTATTTGTCACAGCGAGGAGCAAAAGCAGCAGTACTCACTTCTGCAACGTGACCAACATGTAATGCCAGGGGCTGCTCCACATACTTGAGGAACACATCACACACTGGTTTGAACTTGCATTTAGTGTGCCTTATATTGCACTGCATTAGAATGGTGATATAATTCAGTAATACTCTGTTAATGTCTGTGAAGGTGTCATGAATAAAACACATGTAATACAAGAGGAGTTATGTTTTACACTCTCACACATCAGGCCTGCTTTGTCTTAAGGAGCACTGACAAGTAAAATCCAGCCTTCAGTTTAAGTACAATACGGAGCAAGGTAAGAAGTTAGGAGTGTGTTTGGGGTGTTGGCACCGTCGGAATGAAAGCTACGGCGATGATTTCAATGTTTGGGAATGGCGTATCCCCAAATCTCTAACAGTCCATTATGTTTAACGCGGGTGGATAATTTAGATTAAATGATATCACGGAGATGAACGAGTGACAGTTACGACTAAGAGAGATTAGACCGAGCTGCTGAGGTGTTCAATGACAAAAAAAAAAATCAGTATTTGTCATCTCACAAGAGGCCACACAGTTCTTCTTATGTTCTACTAATGGGTAAATGTTCAGTGTCAGTCGGCGGTAAATGGCCGGCTCCAGCACAGAAAGCTGTCATCAGTACGTACCAGGTCTGACCGTCATGGTCCCGTCCTTTCGGCTGCACCACAGCGCACGGTCCCCGCTCTGGAGAATGTAGTCGTCTTTGGCTTGAAACAGCTCCATTTTGTACCTTCACGTTACAAAACAATAAGTAACTAGTACAGGTAACTGGGTCTTCCACGTCCTGGAGGTTAACAGTAGCTAGCCAGACTGGCGACTGGCTTAGCCACGGTTAGCTCGGTCCCCGCGGGCTGAGAGCTACGGCAGCTAGCTGCCTAGCGAGCTAGCGGCGGCGGCAGCAGCTGGATGCGAGTCGGATTTGTTTATTCCACTTTTACGCATATTGATACTCCGGTTCCTTGTCTACGGGCGAAGCATCTCTTCCTACAGTCATACGAGACAGAGTCAAGGCGAATACACATCAGTGCGTGAGAAAGCGTCCCAGACATGAGCAGCCGTGCGCCGCTCGAGACGTAGCCGACAGTTTCCTGCTCCAAACAATAACACGTGACGCGCCGTCATCACCGGTGAGCAGGTACCGAAACGCACACTGGATCAGAGCCGGGCGAATATCTTCATACTGTCTGTGTGCTGAACATGAAGCATCAGAGAGAAGAACGAGACTGTGCACTGGGGCAGGTTTCCTCGAGGTCTAACACTGAAAACACGAACTGGAGAATGTACCGGATCCATCTGCCTCATAAGTATTTCAAATAAGGCGAGAGAAAATGTTACATAAAATACATCCTGCTAATTGTCATATTTTAAATAAACAGACAGTCTGTTTTTCCTAATTGTGTCAATTCAATTCAATTAAATTTATACATAATACAGAAGCAAAATGTCACCTTTTTAGTGTGTGTGTGACATGTCCCAAAAGTGGTCTTAACTTCTTGTGAAGCTGCTAACTGTCTATTCTTTTAACCTTAAATATATTATTTGTTACTATGACAATCCATATATATATATATATATAATTCGAATAATATATATGACAATATCTTATCTGATTGTCATCATCCTACATGCAGCGTTTTTATTTAATTTTTAATTCACAATCTAAAATCTTCTATATCACTCCTTGTATTTTCACCTTTTCGCTCCAGAACTTGACTCCCTGCTGAAGTAAACAACAGTAATCGGCTTCTGGAAACCTGACTGAATATGTTGTGTATGTCCCTTAATTTTCCCATTTTAGGCTCCCCAATCTAATTTGTAGTAGATATGTTTAATGAATGAATGAAAAATACTTTATTTATCCCAGAAGGGAAATTCAATCTAATTTAAATTTAATGTATGTGCTGCTGAATTAAGATTAATTAAAATCAAATAAATAGCCATGTCAAACAACTACCTAATTGCTTTGAATAATTCTTAACTTTGTCTTTTCCTTTTTAAATAATATGCTTTTTATTTCCTATAGAAAGGGGAAACATTACAGACTTAGCAAGCTGGATCTAAGGGCAGAATACTTTTTAAATTAGGGTTGTAGTTTAAAAATAATAATCAAGTAATGTAATATCTAACTGATGTTCTAATTTAAGCTGTTTGTCTACAAAAACAAAACACAGTTTTTTAGCATCCCCACCCAGCTATGAATAAGGGGCCAGAAATGTTTTCAGTTATGACTCAGTGGGCCCTGAGGGAAAAAGGCAGCGAGCAGCTGACCTCAGATAAAAACATAGATGTTAATCTAACCACTGAAAACTCGTTAGCGGAAAACTAAGCCAGACTTGAGACAGCTGACGACTGGGTCAGGGACACGTTTTCAAGGGAAGCGGACGACACACATACTCATCCATTATTAAAATAGGGATTGTTTGGGCAGGACGTAAACATGGTGGACCTTGAATTCAGTGTCAGGTATACTGTATAAACACAGTTAAAGCTTGCATGCTACCTGGTGATTCAGCTCTCCCTGAATACAAACCTGCCAATAATATATAAAAACATCTCAGCATCAGTCAAAATCCATGTCAAATACATTTTATTTTCAACCGTACCAATGTGACTTTCTTTCAACAATGCGTCAGCCAGATACTAATCAACTGTGATCAACATTCAGCCACGATCTATAATTTGTGAACGTGTGTTAGGCAGTGACCCCCCCATAAGGATGGTTAACAATCTTATTGTGTGGCAAAATATTACACAGAAAGTTAGTGTACCGATAAAAGTTGATCTGACCGTTTTTAACTGACAGACTGAAGTGTGTATGAATTGGCCGCTTTCTCACAGTTGGCATTTTTAAGGCTTTTAGGCCATTTTTGTGTTAGTGTTATTACAGATTGTGGCTTTGGTAGTTACATAATGACATTCTGACAATCTTAAACTGTGATTTCTAACTAGCACCAAGTGCTGATTGTCTCACATCTCAAGTAAGACCCACATCTCTCCCCTGTTTGTCATTAGACATTCATAAATGTACCAAAATACTTTATAATGATATAAATACTGATATAATGTTTTGAAATAACAAGTAAACCAATTCACATACAAACACTCAAACACGTCAATCAAAACTTGTTTAACTGATATAGTTCAAATGAAGTGCTGCTGATTTTCAGCAGGATACATTTCAATGATGGCAAAGTGCAAAGACAGCAAAATCAGTAATGCACCAAAAAGCAGCATCTAATAAACATATTCACTGTGTTGTGTGACAAAGCAGCTCCAACATGGCCATGTGGCGGTAAAGGGGAAAATGCTTTTCTGTTGACTCAGTTTTGCAGTGAGTTCTGCTTTAAAGCCTGAATGTTTGCACTCGTGTACTAACGGATGTGCTGACTGGATTAAGAAAAGCTTCATACAATATTTGATCAGACAAAAGGCAACTACACATAACATTTCTTAAGAAAATACTTGTACTTCTCTTCCATTTATTGATAAAGGCCTCTTATTCAAACTTTAGTTTGCCTTGCAATTGTTGTCAACATCTTAATCATGACAGCTGTCTTATTATGAAGACATTGGCACAACACGGAAGGCAACAACATTGGCTTGAAAAACATGATTGCACTGAGCTACCATCAGTTATGTGCTGAATGGCTGGACATACCAACACTGTTAATCAATGCATGCAACTTCCACAAATGCTGTAGTTAGAGGAGGAGGAGAGTTAGCCAGAGCAGACTTGTTCACTATCAAATATACAGCAAGGAATCCATCTCTCCTCTATATTATCCAGTGTGCAGTCATTATGAGATCTCCTTTGCCATCTCAACATTCTCCTTGGAGATCATGCTTGGCTCTCCTTTCTGTGTAACGTTGTCTCCCTCCATCGCAGTCTCACTGGCATGTCTGGCTGGCTGCTCCTCCAGTTGCTCTAGTTCTTCCAGTATGGTCTGAACCCGGCGGACTCCATCCCGTCTCGCTTGCCGTACATCTACACGACCCTCTGGGTCAACAGAGTCCAGCGCTAAAAGCTCTTTGGTCAGCAGCTCCTCCAGTAGCAAGTATTTCTTATCATTCTTCTTGCCACTGAAACATTTCACCTCGTGCTCCAGTTTAGCAACTCGTTCGACTATCTGCTGTACTTTAGTCAAGCCTGGGTGGGCGGGGCACTGAGGAGCCTGTTCAGCCTCTACTTTTACAGGTGGGACCTCTGGGGTAACAGCTGTCATGTCCTGGGCTTCTGCTTTTGGAGGTATTTGAACTGTGATATCCGCAACATGTTGTTGTGGTTGCTCTTGTTTCTGGGGCGGCTGAAACTGTTGCTGTGACTGCATTAACTGTTCAGGCTGCTGAGGCTGTGGACATGTCTGAGGTGGAAGCTGCTGGAACTGTTGAGGTGGCTGGAACTGCTGAGGCTGCTGAGGTGGAGGCTGTTGGAACTGTTGAGGTTGCTGAGGCTTTTGGACGTCGGCTTCTGTGTGCAGTGGCTGGGGGAGTGACGTATTATCAGGCTTCTGCTGCATGCTTTGTTGTTCCTGCTCCATTTTCTGGGACGGCTCTCTCATGAGGACATGCTGTTGAGCCTGAGAAGTCAAAAAAAAAAAAACAGTTATGAGGATCTGTCACAATCTAGGTCAGCACACACTGACAGGAAAATCAAACATTTTGAACAAGAAAGAACACCACAAGTGAAAGCACACAACAGTAGAATTACCTGTGGTCTTTCTCCCAGCACTTGTGTTATAATAGGTGACTGGCTTCTGATATGAGGTGGGAGGTGAATAGCAGCAGCATCACGATGTTGGGGAAACAGTGTTGGAGATGCCCTTTCTCGAGGAGGCTGCATTGCAGCAGAGTAGCCGGGCCATTCATCTGTCTGAAGGCGATGGTAGGGCTGCTGATGCTCTGAGTAGGGGACGCGCTGAGAGTAGACTGAGGGGTTTAGCTGAACCTGTGTTTGGCTTCCTCCACCCTCATGGATCACCGGGATGGGGATATAACCAGCTTGAAGACCAGTGCTGCTGGGCCTTGAGGGTTGGTGATGTGGAACAGTGTAAACCTTAAAAACAAGATCAAATTGAAACAGTGATAATTCAGCACTTGGTCATTTGTTTCCGATCCAAATCGTTCTGCTTAGAAACTACACATCTTTCAAGTAAACACACATAAACTCAAGTCTTACCTCTGGCGTTGGTGAAACAGGCGAGCCCACCTTTCCAGGCTCAGTGAAGGAGCCATCCGACGGTCCGTGTAAAGGTGATCTGGGCCTGCAGTGGAGCCCTGGCGTCGGGGAAGGTGTTCGCCCATCTGTACGGATAGTGTGTGCGGTGGATGGCTGGATGTAGGAGTAACATGGATGCTGCTGCTGCCTCAGTTCTGCGCCCTCGTGGAAGACTGGGATGGGAACATAACCTGGGCGAAGAATGGGGTGCTTCATCTCCCTCACAAAGGTCTTCTGTGTCTCCTGAGGACTCGGTTCTGGTGGTATGTTGGGTCCATTTGCTGACACTTCTCGGACCTGGAACACAACCGATGATATATAGATAAGATTTATGCCAAATGTTAAATTCCAGTTTATATTACAAGATCTAGCAAAATAAATAAAACTTAAACAATTAAAGTTAGAAGACATTTAATTAGCATTCAGCATTTTAAAGGCAACTTTGAAGTTGTTTCTTTAACTTATAATAAAGTTATTTAACTGTTCAACATAAAATGTATTGTGGTGTCATTTACACTAAACACTACAAACTTGGTTCACGTCAGTATCCTTGAACATTAGGTCATTTCTAATTAGAATTTAAAGTTTTTTAGTATAGTTTTAAACAGCCTTTTCTTATCGCTGAATAATAGAAATAACATTACTTCCATCTGCAAATTATTTATTGAATCTTTTACATTTAATTTCCTCCAAAACTCTGTATAAATAAACATGTGCAGCTAAAACTTACTGCAGACACATTAACCGTAAAACTAAATGGTTTTCAAACCTTGAGGTATTTTCCAATGGGACAGTGTTCTCAGCTCTGAGATAACTGCAAAGGTTACAGGTCAAAACGTTCCATTTCCACAGAGGGATGCCAAAAGTATCACCTCTTTGAGTCTGATAAATGAAAATAACTTCTGATTGACAAAGACTTCAGCGCATTCCCAGTCTGACAACTGCGGTTTCTGGACTGGATGTTTTCTTCTCCGATCAGCGTGACATCACCTGGCTGAATTTCCTGGCTTAACCCACGCACAATAGTTTGGCACACCCTCTAAACTAACATCATACGAGCTTATCATCATTATGTCATGCAGAGAAAGAAAACTCCTCCTGCAAAGCCATTTGATAAGAGTTCAGGAGAAGAAGCCGCTGACTTGTGAATATTTTCACGCACATTTTTCATAAATTCCTCCTTCTTGGTGACAGTCTCCTTTGACCACACCTATTCTGGTCTGATGTTATAAATACAAATGAAGAGCTCATTTGCAAAAACAGATAACTCCATTTTTGTAGATTTTTCAGAAAACTTTTTGTTGTTGTTGTTTACTTGAGATGATACGAATCAAACTGAAGTTGAGCGGATTTGACTCAGTAGAACTGACGTGACAAAAATAGAGAAGTTTGATTGATATTGTCTCAGGTAGACGATGGAGAAGTGGGCTTTCTGAAGGTTTGTGAAGATGAAAATGAACTCTTCAAACATACATAATCCCAGGATACACTCTGGTCTAGTATTATGAATACACATATATACCCCAGGATACATTTGTATGCAAAATACCAATGATCAAACTAATAGTATGTCCTTGTGGGGGCCTCATTATGGCAGAAAAACTATTATAAAAGTCGACAAACATCATAGTGGAATAGTTGTAGGAGCGTACTATATTTATCTTTGTATTATTCTTCTCCTGTTGTTCCAAGTGATTAGACACCTGCCAATGACAGCTATGGAGCAGAGCAACAGGTCTCACAGTTCAGCACGGTGTTAATGATATAACTGGGCAGCGATCAAAGTTCCAACTCCTACAAACAAGACAAAATGCCCACAGAACAAGCATTTATATGTAAACCAGTGGCGTTTCCCCCCCCCCTTAAGACAAAAGTTATGCCATAGCAGTGAACGACCCTTTGCCCTCTGCCATTTCTGTATGGGACACTGCACGCTGCCAGCACCATTGCACCAATTTTATCCCCCAACAGCTGTGTCTTTCAGGCGGATTCCTCTGGACACTAACTTTGGACAACAGTGTGTGTGTGTCTCTCTGTGAGAGGAAAGATTACCAGCTGGCAGGCTTGTGAAGCTCACTCCAGCCCACGGGTTTTCTCTGCAGACCTGTATGTTTTCCCAACATGCTTTAACACAGCAGCAGCCAGCGCCTCTTGTCTTACACCCAACACCAGCACAGGCCGAAGTGAAGCAGCCTCAATCCCTTGTAAGGGAAAAAGTTTAAACATGAGCCTGGACGTCGCCGTGTTTCCCCCACCGGCATAACGAACACAGTGGTCGGTGGCGGTGGATCGCCTTTACATGCTGCAGAGTGAGTCATCGAGTAATAATAGTGTTAGATCATGACACGGGAACATCACCCGTTATAACGGGCTTATGAGCTGCCTGTGAGGGGGAGGTGACGGTGCCCAGCCAGGCCTATAGTCAACAACATTAATATATAACAGGGATGTAGCGACCAGCTTTCACCGAAAGCAAACAAAACAACACAACAAGCGACGCAGCTCGATATGAAATCAGCCGGCTGTGGCGCCGCGTCCGCCGGCAACAAACCCAACTTTATCCCGCCGCTCTTTTTTTTTTTTTTTTTTTTTACCTTTTTCGTGTCGTGTCTCGGGTCATTCCAGGTTGTCGTGCGGTTATTGTGATCCACGAAGAAGGGCCATCCAGTCTGGGGGTCGATCTTCACCTCCCAGCCGAGGGGCAGGGGCTCGCTGTCATTGCTCGCCATGGTCAGGATCGGGGACTGAGTCTTCATGCCGTTCATGTTGCTGGCCGTCGAGTACTGAGACATTTTATACAGGCGACGGACGCTTTAAAGATTCCTTCAAGTGACGTGGAAAAGTGGGCTGGAAGTTTCTCGAAATAGCAGGGTTAATGTCGGGGGCGGACAGCGCTGGGAGCGGTGGCATGGGTTCCCAAACTTGTTGTTGTGTCGCAGACCCCCCAAACACTGACTCCCAGTAACCCTCCGCTGTCGGGATTTTCTGCCCACTTCGCAGCATTTTGTGCAGAGGAGCAGTCATGTCGGTCCTCCTCCACCTCCCGGACCCGTTCACTGACCCATGTGTGTGCGTTTTCTATGGGAATCCCAAAGCTTTTCCTTAACAAAAGAGCCTCCAAATATATATATACTGAGACTCCCACATGACAAATCTTATCCAAGGGAACTCAGTCTGGGTTTTTTTTTTTTTTGCTAGGATTTTTCATACACAATTACATAACGGGTGGTGTGATAGAGTGTGGGCACAGTGACACCTCTAATGACAGATCCTCCTTATCACTCAAAACTACTCCAATCCTGCCTCATACTATGAAGGAAACGCGAGTAAATCAAAGTCTGCATCACAAGGCTGCATGGAGACTGTCACGGACCACCACATGGGGGGTTTTAGAGGAAATCTGGGCATTGCATTTGAAGACAGTTGATTTCTATTTTTTTTTATTCTTCTTCTTCTTATTATTATTATCCCCTTGTTTTTCCTCTTCTATCCTGTTCTCTCTCCCTTCACCCCAGCTGGTGGAGACAGATGGTGTCCATCCCTGAGCCTGCTCCAACTGGAGGTCTCTTCCTTTCTAAAGTGAGTTTTTTTTTTCTTTTCTTGTCACTGTCACCAAAAGTATTTGCTCAAAGTAAATCATTGGGTTTCTTGTGAAAAATCTGTGTAACATCTCCAGAGTTCATTTATTTATTTTTGCAATTACAAGTGCATCATCTTTTTAAATTCCCCTCAAACAGGTGTTTGCAGACGGATACACCAGAAACACAATATTTTAATACTTCTAGTGACTTCAACATCACAATATAGAAAATACAGATGAAATATAAAGTGGCCAAAATAAAACAAATCACAATGTGTGTGTGTGTGTGTGTGTGTGTGTGTGTGTGTGCTATAAAAAGTTCAAGTCAGCTGTTGTTGAGCTGTTTGTCCAACAGTAATTGATTCAATTAGTCAATTGAATCCTTAATATTGGGATATTTTTAAAAAAATGATTATTAGATTTGTCATGTAATGATGACATTTCCAGAATATCTCAGGACCAGAATATTTGTGTGCTACGTGCAGAACAAGACTTGCAACTAACTTTTGCAAGCCAAGCAGGGCGATGTCTCTGGTAACCACACACCACCTGTCCTGCTTTGACCCCAAGCTGAAGTGGCTTCTCTACGATTTAACCCTATTCAGGACTTTTGGGGGTTTTTTTTGGACCCCAGGCCATTTGGTTTTGGTTGACAGATATTGTTTTTTTTTTTTTTTTTTGAACATTGTTTTTTTTAAATGTAAAAAGAGGGACATTTGTCATGCATTTGGAATTAAAAATACATCAACTTATCAGAAAATGTATTTAACATAGTTTGAATACCAACAAATATTTTGCACATATTCTTTCTGAGGGTTTAATTGACCCCGAAAGACCTTCTACGTATGGCAACCTGACAGTCCTGAATCGGGTTAAAGACCTCACTGGAACCAGTAAAGTACCAAAAAGTCATTCCCATTACAAGGAGAAAAAAAAAAGGACTAAAGGGGAAATAAGAGATCTTTGACTGCCCCAATACTGGTGTCAAAAAAAGCCAATATTAGTACTGGTTTCCATACATAATTCCAGGAGTATTACAGCAATTGTTTTTTTTTAGTATAAATTTGGCATTTTTGTCTACTCATACTTAACTATGTTGTGTGTTTGTATAATTACTTCTGTCCTTCTATTATCCCCCTTGTTCTTATTGCGGATCTGGATTGCAGTATTTTGGTTTGACTTGGCAGAAGGGGAGGAGGGAGGCCTTCCTTAATCACTCACTACAGCTAAATATTTATGTGTTTGTTTTTAATTGAAACCCCCTTGGAAGAAAGCTCTCAGTGTTATTTAATTGTAAATAAAGAAGTAACAACCACTGATTATTTTGTGTAAATGTTGAGTCTATGAGAAAATCTGATACACCAGTGAACAGCCAACACATTTTGGTGCCGTTTGTACAGTGACAATGACACAGTTATGAGGCAGAAGATCGGAATCAAACATATGACTGTGACTGTGTTATTCATGCTGTAGCCCAGTCCACGCTGACACCTGAGCTCAGTTTCCAGAAGGGTCCCGATGGTTCGAGTCACCGCCACAAACCGTCCGACCTCGGTGAATAAAACAGGCGCACTCCGGCATTACGCTCCAAAATAAAAGCCTCTTACGCCAATTATTTAGTGTAATATCGTAAAATAAGCACTAAATGTGTTTACTGCCTTAGCTCGTGTAGTAAATGATCAACCAGTCACTAAGTTGAGAAACACAGCACTCCGTAATAAATGTGTAACTGTCACCGCTGAAGCTGAGCCGCTGTCGCCTCACTCTGACCTCTCCGGGCTCCTCACACGCATGCACGCGCTCGAGACTCACAGCGTGACGTATACCCTGGCGCCCGGTTAGCTAGCTTCTAAGCTAGTTAGCTAGTTGTTGTTGCTAGCCGCGTACATCGTCAGTTAACGTCAGCTAACTAGCTAGTAACTAACGTTTTCTGACCTGGTGACTGTCGGCAGCGGTCATGGACGACGAAAGCCATCCCAAAACCCTGTAAGTACATTTGGGTGTCTAGCAGCAGCGTCACGTATCGTTAGCTTCGCTAACGTCGTGAGCCGGTGGCTAACTTAGCTTCCCGTTGTTTTCACAAACCTGGCGAACAGCGCCGGATAACATGAACATTTAATGTTTCATTAGTGCAAGGTTAACTAAGTTAAGGTTAATTAAAAACAACTCTTATGTTGTATGAATTTGTAATCCCTAAACGCCAACTGCGCCAACATTAGGACATATAACACTAGGTCGGACAAGCTAATGTAAATAACGTCACATTCAGAACTTACCATGTCTAACCATATGGTAATACCTGAAATCAGCTGTCTGCGTCAAATTTTCAGCAGTATCAATACCCGTCGTTACCCAGTGCAACCTGTTTAAATGAGCTGAACATCCTCTGTCCCCTCCAGATATGTGGGGAATCTCTCCAGGGATGTAACAGAAATTCTGATTCTGCAACTCTTCACCCAGATCGGGCCTTGCAAAAGTTGTAAAATGATAACAGAGGTAAGCAGCCGCTATTGTTGGGTTTCTTTGTGTTTACCCTCAATTTTCACCCAGAATGTTAAAGGAACCCATCAATTGTTAATTCGCAATGGAAGAAATGTAGTTGCTTTGAGTTGCAGTTATGTACAGTTAAAAAACAGTGGAAGCAGCCTTTTGAACTGTTGTGTCCGACCTTTGTCCCTTGCAGCACACAAGCAACGACCCATACTGCTTTGTGGAGTTTTTTGAACACAGAGATGCCGCTGCGGCCCTCGCAGCCATGAATGGACGGAAGATATTAGGAAAGGTAGGACAATATGCCTGCTCTAAAATTAAAAACAAGGTTAGGCAGTTCATTTGTTGTCTCAGTTCCCCTGTGATCCTTGTTCCTTATGAAGAAAATGTCTATTTCTCTGCTTCCCTAATGGCGCTCTGTGAATTCTGTTTTCAGGAGGTCAAAGTAAACTGGGCCACCACTCCAAGTAGCCAGAAGAAAGACACATCCAGTAAGTGTTCACCTATTGATTTGTTTTTGAATCTGCTGCAATCAAACTTTTCCAGAGAGTGGTAAATTGTTTATTTCCTGTGTTTGTCTTTTTTTTTTTTTTTAATTCTAGATCACTTCCATGTTTTTGTGGGTGATTTGAACCCTGAGATTTCCACCGAGGATGTCAAGGCTGCATTTGCACCTTTTGGGAAAATCTCGTAAGTTTTCACTTTAAAAGTTTTTAAATTTATTTTATTCATATGGAATACAGTAGTTTGAATGCACAGCCGTGTATGACCATGTTTACATGCATACAACTTGGGTATGGACTTAACTGTATATACAAAGTATTTTCAAGTTTACATAAATTGTGAAAAAGAATATTTTGATTGGTCTTTGAGGGCTGACATCATTAAGGATTTTGTTTCTCCTCAAGCGTTTATGAGTTACTTGTAATCGCGGATAAGTCGTTTAGTTTTGGGGTTTAAACAATTGTTTGATATCAGATAAAACACTGGTTAAGGGTGTAACTGTGATCTACAGCGTCCCTGATTCCAGTCTGACTGGGGATATTTCTAGCATAACATTCCCTTTCTTTCTATCTCCCTCATGCCCTGTCATCTCTACTGACCATAAAAGCAGGAAATGTCTAGCGACCTCGCCTCTAAAGTACATAGAGTATAATGAAGCTTGGAAGAAATGCGCTCATAAACTGTGAAGGGGAAACAAAAGCTTGCATTTCACAATGAAGCTCTGCAAAGATGAATGGCATTTATAGTCTTTATTGTTAAGCACTGCAAAGTAGTAGTCGTTGGGCAGCCACTTCAGAAAATATCTTAAGAAAGTTTTACTCTGATTGTATACAAGGAAGATATTAGCGCTAAGAGTGAAAACGCAAGTTCTCTCTTGTGAGGCAGAATGTTTAGAAGTGATCAGTGTTTAGTATTGAGGAGAGCACCTTTATTTTTGCTTCATTATCAACAATACATTAAGTGTTCTTTGTCACACTTGTATGATGTGCAGCATATCCTTTATCCGTGCATGTAAACATAGTTGATAATAGAGCAGCATAGTTTATATTATTAAATGCAATGAACGGTATCTTTTAGAGTGTATGTATTGTTTTTTTTTTTTTTAAAACACTCCAGTGAACTTACTTGTGGTCTATGTATTGTCTTTCTGTTTTTATGACTAAAGTGTCAGCTTTTAGCCTGTTCTTGCTTTTGTATGCACATTTAGGTTGTGGTAAGTAAACTGTACAGTTTGTCAGCAAAATGTAAGCTGTGTGTATGAACCTGAACAGCTTTTAGTTGTGGGTCTCAGTGAAGTAATAGCACTTTGGTTATTTTACAGAAATGCTCATAGGATTGGACAGGAGCTTGAAGGCTAACAGCAAGGAACTGTGCACTCTGGAGACTCAGATGTAGATTTTTTTTCTCTATTTATTCCATTCTTTCCATATGTCTTTATTTGTAGATACCATGTATTAACATGATCTAGCATAGATTAACGAATTCCAATACTCAATGTATTCCTCTAAATCTGTGTTTAAATTGTCTCATTTTGATTTGCATAGTGTTGTTTGTAGTGCAATGATCCTCTTCCAAAATTTCTGAAAATGTCAATTTCTCAAAATTTGCAGCTGCCCAAACTCCATACTCCATATTGGTGGTAAAGAATTGACCAGGAAAAATAAAGAAATCTGTTAACAGGCCATGTATGCCGTTTAATTCCTTTTTTCTCTTTTGATATTTTCTATATATTTCTATCTGTAGATAGAGCACCAACAGCAGATTTTAAGAATGCATGGTAATCCATATCCGTTCCTTTGTGAATTTCAATCAGTAGCCTTGTGTTGTGAGGACTGAGCAAAGCGTGGTGCTCTAGTGGTAAAGGTCCAGTAATACATCTAAAATTATTTAAAGTCAGTACTGTAGGCTGCATGTATTTGTACTTGTTTTTTGTTTTCAAGTGTTGCTTTAAAGTTATATTGCGAGAAAGTGCTCAGTACAAGGCCATGATAGCTAATATACCTTAATGTAGGACAGAGTAGAGGATTCACAGTTCAGTGTGTTTTGCGTGGTTCCTTTTAGTTTGAAGATTTAAATTGTCAAGTGCACTGAAGCTGTTTTCACATTTTCCTCCAGGGATGCCCGTGTTGTGAAGGACATGACGACAGGCAAATCAAAGGGGTATGGATTTGTGTCCTTCTACAACAAACTGGTAAGGCTCCAGTGCAAGAACACAGACTGAAGGTTATTTCTATTTTCTGTTTATTATCCTTCCTCAGTGCATTTACAGTAATTAAAATAGAAATATTTGCTGTTAAAACCGTAGTTACAACTGAAATCATCTAACAAGACATAGTTTCATCACCACTTTCAATGTTGCTTTTAAAAAACCGTAATGCAACTTTTCAGAAATGATTATGTCTACTAATATATTTAAACAGAGCTGTCGATTTCAAAGGGGTAACTGTTTGATTTGGCTTTGTAGGATGCGGAGAATGCCATCATTAACATGGCCGGACAGTGGCTTGGAGGACGCCAAATCAGGACTAACTGGGCAACACGTAAACCCCCGGCTCCTAAGAGTGCTCAGGACAGTGAGTATTGATGGACAATTCAGTCTTAAAGTTTGCAAAATGTGATTAGATATTGACATTAACGCCACACTTTCATCAGATATTTAAATAGAGAAGAAACAGAAGTACACAGTTTTCTTTTTTTCTCTCCCCCAAATCATTTCCAAACCACATTTGCAGTATGTTTAATATTCGACTAGATTTCTCCAGATTCGTCCTTGTCCCGTTGATCTGCCTGCTCAAGTCAGATGTTTGAGACATTTTGTGAGAGTGATAGAGTTGCTGAGCAGAATCCATGCTGCTACTGGCAGAGCGCTATGGAGGGCAGCATGGTTAACAGCAGTCAGTGGACAGATGATGAAATACATTGGCTGCTGGCACTTTGCGGGAGGCTTTCTTTACAGGCCAAACTAAAAGGAATCTACTGGAACAAGACAATCTGGTGAAAGAAAGAAAGCTATGTAGTTGCAGATACTTAGGTTACCACAACAACCCATGCAGATAGGTTGGTGATGCCAAAATCTGACGACTTGAAAATAACAGTGCACAGTCAAGATCTGTTTTAAGAAACAAATCAGATTGTCCTGCAGTCTAAAGAAAGCCTAAGTTCAGAAACTAGTATCCCTAAATGGACCCAACTTTCCTAGACCAGTTTGTATGTTTAGCAGCTGATGTATCTTGTACAGTTACAGATGACAAAAGTGGCAGTGTTGGTGATTGTGTTATGGATAAAATCATTTGGCTTGGCATGAATTTGATTGTCAGCCCAAATATAATGTATGAGGTTAGGATTGTGGTTTGTTGTTTCTGTCTCAGATGGTTCAAAGCAGCTGAGGTTTGATGACGTCGTGACTCGGTCCAGTCCACAGAACTGCACTGTGTACTGCGGAGGGATCCAGTCAGGACTATCAGGCAAGTGTCACGTTCTCCAGATACCATTGTTACACGCTGTCGTCACACTGTAATAGTAGCCCTGTTCGTTATCATATGCTTTCCTCAAATAGCCCAAGAACTAACCACATTAACATTTTTTCTGTTTGATTCCTTCAGAACATCTAATGCGACAGACCTTCTCCCCATTTGGTCAAATAATGGAAGTCAGGGTTTTCCCAGAGAAAGGCTATTCCTTCATCAGGTAGCTCCTGTGTCCATTACAGCATTTGGCCTCTAGATGTCAACACAAGCACATTGCATGGCTCAATTACAGGCCAGTTAATAGCTACCTCATTTAATGTCAGCGACCATTTCTGTCATGTTTGTCTTCACCTTAGTGCTTTTATGGAGGCTCAGTCATCTCAAAGTTTGAACAGTCTGTATTTTCCTCATTTGATTGAAATTCTGACTTCTTATCTACTTTTCTTCTTTCAAGGTTCTCCTCCCATGACAGTGCTGCCCATGCCATTGTGTCAGTAAATGGCACAGCCATTGAAGGACACATAGTGAAGTGCTTCTGGGGCAAAGAATCTCCTGACATGGCAAAAAATCCGCAGCAGGTAGAGAACTCCACTGACGTGACAAAAGTAATAAGATTTTTTAAATATATATATTTTAATTTGAAATATTGTAAAGAGATGACAGGAATTGATTGATAAATGAATGAATGAATAGATTGGCAGTCTGCGGCCAGTGCCTTAACCTCTAAGCCACAGAAGTCTGTAGAACTGATCAAACTTTTGGAAAAATAGATTAAAATTGAAATTTTCAAATGATGAATTAATAGTTGTTGTTGTTGTATGTGTATTGTTATTATTAGCTGGACAGGCTTAACAGGAAAGTTCACTCATTTATTCACGTTCTTCTTTCTGTTGGTGTCACTCAGGTTGAGTACAATCAGTGGGGGCAGTGGAACCAGGTCTACGGGAATCCACAGCAGCAGCAGCAGCAGCAGCAGCAGCAGCAGCAGCAGTACGGGCAGTATGTGACCAACGGGTGGCAAGTCCCGTCTTACAGCATGTACGGCCAGACGTGGAACCAGCAAGGATTTGGAGTGGAGTGAGTTGTGCTTGTTGTACATTTTCTGTCACTGTTGTTTTTTTCTGTGATTGCCTAACCTTGACTGCACTGTAACCTCATGCAGTGTCTGAGAATTTTTTTTATACAATATGGAAAATATGGAAACAGCACAGACATGACTAGAAGTAGAGAGAACTCTTTGACTACTTGTTTGACAAAAATTGGGAAAGAAAAAGATCCAAGGTCCAATGTTACCAATATTTAGGGAAAAATAGGGCTCCACATGCTATAGATAGTCTGGTATAGATTTTCACTCTAAGCTGAATGCATTTTCCACCAACTTGCTCCTCGGTATACCTTTTTAAGCCATGCTGTATTTATCGTATTGATCAAGAATGTTTTATTCTTCACTCAGTGTCTCCTGTTGTCTTCTTTCTGCTCTGTGTAAACACAGTCTGCAGTTCACCTGAAAAGCCACCAAATTTTTTGTCATGTGACTTTTAGCTGCAACTGATTCAATCATGACTTTGCTGTTGCGCTCAGGGAGGCAAAATGTTTTAGTACATTATCTACTGTAACTGGTACATTTCTGACTGAGACACGTAGAACAATTTGAAGCTCATCATTTGTTGTTTTTCCTGGCTGAACAGTGCATCAAACATAAAATGTTTACTGACCATCAGGAAGTTGAAAATCTACCACTTCTTTCTCTTTTTACGCCTTCTTCATGTGGTAAATAGTGTCACCTGGGTGTTTATTTGTTTTGTTTTTTTAGAGAAAATCAAAATCATGCCTTTCAAACACAGGTTTTTCAGGTTTGTCTAAGATGAAAACAAAGAGACCTCCTCCTCCAACAGGGGGAGCATTCATTTACGTTTCAACACAGCTGGTATTTCAGATTACAGTTCCACTAATTGGGTTTCTGTATGATCTTTGCAGGCAGTCCCAGTCACCAGCCTGGGTGGGAGGCTTCGGATCTCCATCAGCCCAAGCTGCAGCCCCTCCTGGCACCGTCATGTCCAACTTGGCCAATTTCAGCATGGCTGGCTACCAAACGCAGTGAGAAAGTCCTAACCTAAGTGTAACACCGAGGGGACACAGCACTCTTTCATCTGGACAGCTGCTGTGAGAAAAGAAGGGCAGGGGCCATATTCACAAAGCCTTTGTAGCTGATAGTTGCTCCTGAACAACCAGTTCAATAATTCTGTTTTAAAAGACAGTCCACTTTTTTCGAAGTTTATTTGTTGATAATTCATAAACCTGCTATGAGAAGTGCTCTTGGGCTTTTGAAGTAAAGCCAAACCAACTTTCTTTTTCTCAATAGATGTTTAAGGATATACCAACCTTTTGAATGTTTGGCCCGATTAACCCTTACGTACAACGTGGCAAGAGTTACGTTTTGATACCTCTCCTCTCATCACACGTTGAGTAAGTTACCAATGGGCCAAAGCATCAAAAAGTCAGTGTGGTTTTTCAAAACTTATTGCTACTCTCTCAGATTCAAGACATGAGGGGGGGAAAAAAATGGAAATCCCAAATGCATACACAACTTTTGTGGACCGAAAAGCACACTTACTAAAAGCCATGGTGTTTCTCCAGCAGCTCACTGGAATTTGACGAGGATTAAAATCCCCGGAAACCTCAAATTTACTAACTTTGAAGTTGAATTATCAAACTATAGCAATATCTACTCTCAGTTTGCCAATGTTTTTTAGTATTTTAATGTTTATTTACTGGTCATACTTGGACATTTTGTCATTTTATACAACTGAAGACAAACCTCCACTCAAGTCTTCATACATTGATTAAGTTCATTTTTATAATGTAGGTCACTTTTTAAATATGCAGACAGCGATGACGGTGTTGTACAGATCAAGCGGATATTGACGGTAAAGCTGTGCTACAAAATGCACTCAGCCACAAGAATGACCTGCAAAACCTTTGTCTGAACCTTCAGCTCATATAGTCTCTAGACAGTCAGTCCTATTTTGATATATCGATGAGAAACGCTTTGTGAATAGAGGCCCTGGAGCGGTAGTTTACCTTTCCAGTATATGTGACGAAACTATTTGTATAAACAACTGTGGCTTTAAAACGGAGGTTGAGGTGGGGAGGTGGTATCTCCTGGATAAATTTTGTGTACAAAGAAAATTTCGCCTACACAGCTCTAAAAGCAAAAAAACAAAAAAAGTAATTAGTAGAATTTTCATGTTTTTGTAACGGAGTGATAAGCATGTCATTTTGATGGATTGTAGTTTACACCTGACTGCAGCCGAGATGGACGGATTTATAATGTCAGGACAGGCTATAGCACATGCTCACTGTATAAAGAAAGTATTGTAAAAACTGCTTAACCCCCGATCTTTGTAAAGGTAACAAACTGTGCCGATTCTGGGGCTGGTTTCCTAGAGGAATACTGAATCTTAAATATTTTCTTCCTTCTTCCTCCTTGCTAACCTCAGTTAATTTATAGAAATTTCTTTCTGATCAATAGGAAGATATTTTTTTGGTTGTTGTTGCGTAAAAACCTTAGAATGAATTTTGTACCAAAACCAGCCCCTAATGACATTGCATCATGTTTTACATAAATGTAAAACGTTCTACATTAGTGGCCCACTCGCATGAAGACAACCTGTCCAGTGTTTAGGCTTATTGTATTCGGGGCTAGTTTTATTTTATGTTTATTTTGGATTTATTGAAAGCAGGTGTGTCAAGACAGCAAAGGCTTTTTCTGCCCCTCAGAACATTCTTTCTATTTGTGGAGTATTTCCACATATCCCAGGTAAATTATTTAAAAGAAAAACATCCCCTGACAAGAGGATTCCTCACGGACATCCTGCCATTTGGATCTTATTTGTCTACGTGCCATTCTGTACAGCGTATTACTCCTCGTAAGCTCGCTCTCCTTTCTGTTGTACGAGCCAACAGACTTGATAATCTTTTTGGTTTTATTTGAGCTGAAGGGGGGCTTCATGAAATAATACAGGGTCACGTTTGTTGAGAGTGTAAATATAAACCTTGATTACAAACCTTGATGAAACTTAAAATAATGTACATACTGTAGGTAGAAATTAAATTCCGTCATTCAATTTCAGCAATATAATTTATAAATAAGCCTTAATTGATTTGTTAGTAAATTCCGACTTTGTGTTATTTAAACAAGCTCCATTACAGATCATCGAAATTCTTTTCCACTGGATTTTTATTTTCCCCTCATCTTTCGGGTTTTGTGTGCCATTTTCAGGATGTAGCAGGAAGCAGGTGATGTATCAGCTTGAACTGCACGCTTACGACATGTAATATATTTGTTGCTTAAAATATTGAATGTAATGGCAGTTTGCTTTTATGACAACAATACATATAAGTTGTACAACTGAAGTGATGTTTAATAAATAAAGGGTGAAATCAATTTTTCCATTTGACGGAAAACCTCAGTGAGTCACTTCAAATAAAGAAACATTTGAACCTCACCTTTGCTCGGTATGTTTATTAGGCACTAATCAACTGTGCGTTATGCAGAAATGCTGACAGCAAAGCATGTATTCATGTGGAGTCGTCTTTTGAGTGACTGACATTTACCAGCTATTAAACTGGGGTTCTGTACCATCAGAGTTTTAAACATCCTAGACAGCACATACTTTTAATACATTTGCTCAAAAACCTTTCTATCTTTGGAAAGTATGAAACCTAAACAAAGAAACTTGTTTCCCAAATCTTTTTTGTTGTTGTTGTTGTAATTAGTGGAAATACAATTATACTCCACCATCGTGCCATTCAGGCTTTTGACAGTTTGGCAGCTCAGAGGTGATCAATAATTATTGAACCATTTTTCTAAATTGTGCAAACTATTTAAAGTTTAAACAGCTTTTGAGCAACTGTTACAGAACGTGAACATAATAAACATTTAATGACTAAAGCAAAGCAAGCATTCACTTAGTCAGATATTAAGTGGCATATACGTTGCCTAATATTGAATTATGTTGCATAACTTTTACTAACCTACTGTTGAATTATTTGTATGTTACACAAATACACAATATTACACCAACAATGCATAGATTTACATTCAGGTCTCACCTACAACATTGTCGTCTTCTATGTATCTGAGCATAAACTTCAACCAGTTGGTAATATTAGCTCTAGTGCATTTGCCTATTAAGCAGAGAGTTTCAAAAACATGTATACAGTATGTACATATTTCCATCAAATGAGTGTTACTGTCAGTAGATTAATTGTTTAGTGGTTGATTAGCTGATCTCACCAGCTAATTGTTGCTTTCAGCCTGAAGAATTTGAATATTGTAGGTGCTGGTGTTCAGATAGATCACGGTCCTGTTCCTCAGAGGTGAATCACATACGACAGTTGAACGTGGAGTTGGAGCGATTCGCTGCGTTTCTGGATGACGGCTCGGCCTTCGTTGCTCTGTCCACGCAAACCAGGACTGGGCCATCTGAGGCAGTTTCGTCTCTCTGGATAGGGGGGATTCAAAATGCATCATTCAGTATTTATAGGAATAAAATGAAGACACTATTCTGACTTGCTGGAATGCCTAAGTGCAGAATATTACACAGCTTGGATATACTTTTTGATCTCTTCCAATCCCCAATATTGCTGTTTAATATTTGATGTGCACAGTGCTTACATCATTTTTGGTCAGTTTCCCTGCTGTTTCGTTTCCTTTAGCCTTCTCTTGCAATCCCAGTTTCTCCGTAATCAGCTCGATCCTGGATGTGATGTCTGCTACAGAGCTTTCAAGCTTGAGAACTTGTCTGGACAGTCTTATTGAGAGAAAAAGATCGTTTAGAATATGCCTATGGTCCATTACAATGAAATGCATTGCTCTTGTGTGGAGTATAAAACAGTTTACTTCAACATCTATCATAGATTAAAAAAAAAAAAAAAAGTTTCCCACCTTAGAAACTGTTCCCGATCCCCAGAGGTTTGACTGGAGTGGTTCTTTTTCTCGCTGGATGTGACAGGAGGTTTCTCCAGTAATTCTTTCCCGTAATTCATCCCAAGATTGTTAAGCTCAGCACTGAGAGCATCCTGACAGAAGTGGAAGAACAGCAGTGAAAACATAGTTCTGTCATTTCCCGTTAATTCTTACAATCATTTACTTTATACCTTGTCAAGCTAAAGAACTGCAAATGAGTCCAAAACTAAATTTTAATCAGACCGAATCATCACTTTTAGTTTCAGTTTAAATTATTAGACAAACCCTCTTTTCCTCCAGCTCAATTTTCATCCTCTCTTGTTCGTCTTCGTCTAGAATTTGGTTCCCGTCACGATCAAACTGTGTGAAGGCTGCAGTGATCTCATGATCGGCGTGTCCCATCCTGCAAAACCATCAGAGTGGTGAGCGTTTAATACCAAAATGATCGTATGAGCTTCTTTTTGATCTTTTCTCACTTACTCTTTAAGAGTTTCTCTGAAGTCCTTGAATTCGATTTCTCCAGATCCAGAGTGCAGAGCCCTCTGAACATCTGATATTTTCTCTTTTTTAAGTTTCAGCTTCGTAAATGTCTTCGAATAGCTCTGAACCACAAGAAAGAATCAAGTCTTGTAGACCCAAGAATGTGTCTGGTTTTACATTAAACTGCTTTAATTTGCCTTTACCTGTTTAATGAGGTCAGTAATCTGCAGCTCGTCTTTTTGGGATGAGAGCTCCTCCTTCACCTCGGAATACGTGTCATTTATGATGGCCAGAAACATGTTCTGAGGGAAGAATACATTAAGAGATAATGCAGCTGCTTAGGATTATTTTTTCAAAGTCAAACATGTTGTGCAGCAGAATGACTTACCAGCAGAACAAAGAAAACAAAGAACACGTAAGTTACAAAGTAGATCGGCCCGAGAACTCTGTTTGCACGGTCGATGGCGTCGTAGTCGAAGTCTCCAAGAATAATTCTGAACTGTGTGAAGCTGTAGGAGGGGAAAAAAATGAAAAGGGCTCATGTATGAATGCTTATTTTAGTGAAATACTTCCTGCTGCCGTTGTTCTGGACACCACTTACATGCACTTTACGAAGGTGCTGAAGGACTCAACCTCTGTCCCAAAGAGCAAATATCCAAGCTGAGCATAAGCAAAGAACACGATGAAGAACATAATGGCGAATCCCATGATGTCTTTAGCACATCGACCCAGTGTGGAGGACAGCTGAGTCATGGTCTTATTAAAGCTGATGTACTTGAAAACCTACAAGGAGGAGAAGGAGAAAGCACATGTTGTTTGGACGACACAGATCATTTCCATCTATGCGTTGGAGCAAAGATTGTCAGCAGTTTACCTTGATCCATGCAAAGAACAAGTTCACCGCATTCATGTTGTTGTATTGTGTTTGCCAGAATGCCAGAAACTCAAAATCAGCGTAAATATCAGGTTGTTCTAATAGTTTCCCGAGCAACTTGTCAACCTTGACGGTTCTGAAGATGTTGAATATGATGGCAACGATGGCGAGCTGGAACAGAGAATATAAGTTATTTCTTTGAGGCCAAGAAAAATCTAAGAAAAGGAGTTACTGGAATTAGATAAAGATTCCATTTTCTTACCATTATGACCACGATATCCAGTATGTTCCAGATGCTTTTGAAGTAGGACCACTTGTGTATTCGTAGCTCAAGAATCTCCTCCACAATGTAGTAGAGGATGAACACACAGAAGACCATCTCGCAGCCGAGGATGAAGTAGTCCCAGGTGGTGATGTAGCGAATCAGTTTGACTGTCCTGATCTGGTAGGACGGGATCGCCCCACCGGTCGCTGGGAATTCAACCAACAGTCTGTGAGAGAAAACTTTGGTCAGCAAGTGGATGGAAACCGAGCAGCGGGTGAAGCTGTCAGCAAAGGCTCCTCACCTGATGACACAGAACATGTTGATGTTTGCGTTGTAAGTGGAGAAGTCGATGAAGGCCGCTCTGGTTCCTCGGTCCAGCCAAAGGTTGCCCTGCAGTTCCTCCAGTATGACGGCACTCTCCTCTTTGCTCTGACTCAGGTCTTGATAGTATCCTGCTCCACTGTAGGTGGTCAGCAAGCCCCAGTGAGAGGAACCCTTGATTTGCTCCTCTGTGTGGAAGGTCCAGCTGCAGAAGAAAAGCACATAAACAGCTCAGAAGCACGTTACATTTCAATGCTTCAGTTCTGGTTTATAACAATAAGCAGCTTACGCAGTGCCATTGATGAGACCAAAACTAAAGTCGTCCTCCTTCTTTTCGTTGTACACATCGAAGCATCCCGAGATCTCATCTTGGAAGTCACTGTGGACCTTGCAGGAGTTGTTCTTCATCTTGATCTGCCTCATCCGGGGGACTCCAAGCAGCATGTTCTCGTAGTAGATGAAGGACTGGTTCCCGTTGTCCAGGGACTGGTTATTGTACCATTTTGTCCAGTAGAGGCCGTCCAGTAATGGGCCCTGGGTATACTGTTCATAGAAAAAGAAAGTGCATGTAGTTTGATTTGCACCGTTTTCTATTCTCATTACGTAAGTCATTTCCAGTTGAGGTGAACGCGGTGGAAAAACTCACAGTCCAGAAGTCAGCCATGGTGCTAATGGACTGAAACCTGACCCCACCTTCACCGGCTGTATTCACAAACAGGTCCGTCATGGCTTTCGTGTAATAGTAGGTGCTCGAGCTGGTCATACCGTATGTCACTGAAAGACAACGTAATCACATTGTTACCGCCTGGTCATCGCTTCCTATCAGGCTTTGCTCAGGCTCAGCTCTCAATGTTGCTCCATTCAGCGGTCCAAGATAAGACAACCTCAGAGGCAGACACGCAAGGCCGCATTCAAGACTTTGGTTGTGTTTATGTCACAGTCAAATGGATCCAGATTAGAGGCTGCAATTTGTTTGAAGAGAGAGCACGCTGTCTTGACACAAATAGCCTAATCAAACAATGTAAATCTAAGGCAGACAAAGAAACAAAGGATGCTCTTATCGCTAAAAGGCAAGAGAGCGGTACCCATGTTCCTTTCAGTCCTAATGCTCAGCCGGACAATGAGAGGGGAAGGGCATTTGTGGTCTGTACTAAAGCAAAGGGGAAACAAATACTGTTTGTAAAAAGTTGTTTGAAAGATACATTAGCAGACATAAGCTAATTAACACAGAGATGGCCAACGACATACATAATTCATCGCAAATAAGGCTGTAAAACATGCAGTAATCATCAATCTTAGAAATACATTTGAGTGTTCTCTATCTCCTCTGTCACATATTTGGAGTGTTAATGCCATACTTTCAACAGGTTTGTAAATTAAATACTGAAATGTATTTTAATGAGTGTCAAAAATGTCAGAAGAATCCCAACTTTTCTGAAATTGACAAAATTTTCAAGATACCAGACAGGAAATGTGAAAAAAAGTACTTGCACATATACACACACATACAACACACGCATGTTGAACATAGTTGTGTCAGGATTAAATGCATTCATTGAAAACTCTTCAGAAAAGCACTTGACAAGAATTCTGGATGCTATGCTTACAGAGGCATATGTCCACCAGGAACACCACGTAGACCAGTAACTCCCGTAGAGTGGTTCGAACAAACAGCTCCCTGTTGTTCGAGGTGTTTTCGGTCAAGGTTGTGCCCCACAAGCCTACAGAAAATATCAGTGCAAGTCAGCAGTTAATGCAGGTACAACAACAGACCTATGACGCAGAAGGTAACTTTGACCATGAACTAAAGGAAAGATAAAACGATGGTTCACAGATATTTTAGGTTTAAAATAGATGTTGAATGCTTCCAGTTTAATTTACAGGCACAGAAACATTATCTAAGGGTTTTATTTGTGAACCTGGATTTACAGTTGATATTCAAAGCAGAAACCCTCCTGTGAACTAGGTCGAATGTGCTCCTACCTTTGATAAAAGAGCAGCAGCCTCTTCGTTTTTCCGTCAGACCGAGGTCAGTGGATGGTGGTTCCTCTGGGAATGGGCCCGGAGTGTCCAGTTTGTACAAGTTGTCCATGGAGCCCTGGTAGAGCGGCTGGGGGTTGTAGATGGTGCTGACAGCCCTGGGCGGGGGTGGAGGGGAGCCACAGTAGCCCTGGTTCACCCAGGCCCCGTTCCCCACGCTGTCCAACTCCACCTGCCCGGTCAGGTGGCTCTCGGCCCGGTTGTTCAGGGGCTTCATGCTCCAAGGTACACCTGTGTATCGACCGCTAGTGTTTAGATCAGGGAGGAGAGGGACGTCCAGTCGTTTCAGCAGCTTCTGAACACCTGCTGGAGAGATGTTTATAAAGAGTGGATGACACGGGCTTTGCAGAGGGAGGAGCTGCTGGTCCAGTGCTGTGGCTTTTGTGGTCTTGAGTTTGAGATCCAGTAAAAACACGGTCAGGTTAAACATGGTAGGTGTTGCCTTCACACAGTATGAACATACTGGGATCCTTAGTGGACAATACTTATCTCACATTTAACATCTTTAGATTGTGCATTTGACAAAATAACATGAAATTCAAAATGTGATCATCTCACCAACAATCCTCAATCACTGTAAAGAGCTCAAATGGTGTAAAATAAAGTTACTTGAAGCTCATCCTGTAGTGGCAGTCTGTACAGTATCCACCTGTAAAGTTGGTGCCAATGTCTTTTAAAAGAAAACATGCGGCCACGTTAAATAATTCAGCAGTTAAAAGACGTTTAATTTGTTTTGCCCTCTCAATTACTTCCATGCTGAGCACATTGTTGTCACTATTGATTAACAACTCATCCAATAACGTGCTCCTATTGAGGAAATCAATCATTTGCATGTCGATTATATTCTGTCACCAACTGTTCACCCCTCGTGACTGAATTAATGAGGAGGGCGATCGTCGGCCTCTGCCTCATTACTGTGATGCACTTTTGACTCTGCTGTCTATTCATTTTTGGCATGCCAACTGTCAGAATATGTTTATTAGGTATGCAAACATTCAGTGTACCATAAGAATCCTTGTGACCATCTGTGTGAGTGTTTGGCACCTTGTCTGCTGGCTGTGGCTCTTCTTTCAAAACTTTGAAAAAACCTCCTGAAACACTTAACACACATGTATTTAAGTACTTTAGCAGGTAAACTGATTAATATTTTAGCTACATTTCTTCTTTCATGGTTTGATTTATGTTATGTACATATGGATCTTTGTATCTGTTTGTTTGCTTTTTGTGTGCAGTTAGAAGGTGTAACCCGGACATACTGGAATATGATATTATCCAAATGTTCCAAATACCACCACCCAAACCACTCCAGACTTAACGATGTATATAGTGTTATCATATTTGGACATTAAAGTTAATGTACTGCTGTAGATGTCTCCTACTTAATGCAGATAGAGTTTGGGTCCAGCTATGGCCGTTCATGCTTCAGCGGCTCTGAACAGAGCGATTACACACAGCCATTACCACACAATGGAGTTTAATTTCTGCTCCCCTGCTGAAGCCGTGCTAGGATCTGGTTCGCAGGCTTCCTTAATCTGCTGCGGCTTGTGCCACCTTTCAAACTTATTTAAATCTGTAATAATCACTTTTCAGTGGCTGGCGATTGCCATTTAAATCTGTAGCCATGCTGCTGCAACAGTCACTGGTCGTATGGCATCCTGGTACATCTCTGCTTGCACCGGTCCGTCCTCTAGCTGGCCTGAGTGAGTGCAATGCTTTTAAACCCCAAACGGAGCTATTTGTGTAGCGAAAAGTCAGGAATAGACGAGTTAAATGATTGTACTGAGTCCCAAAATAGTGTCTGTTTTAGGATTTTTGTTCTCCCCGGTGACGTAAGTGTCTTATCTCAAAGCACAGTGACTCTGAACAAAAGGATGATTTATTCCCCAGGACGCAGTGCAGTGGACATGACCTGCCCTCTCTCTGGCAGAGACCTTGGCACAAACACGACAAATCATGTTGTAAATTTTTTTCTCCCCAGGATAACCCCTGTTTTATCCACAAAGTGAGATTATGAGCATTTAAGTGTGCAAAGTTTTTACTAAAATGCTAAAATTGAGAGTAAATTTTACTAGTGTGCTCTAAGTTATTTAGAATTTGAAGATTTTTAGGCATGCCATTTTAGATTTTTATATAATTATAGGAGGAAAATGTGAGTTTTGTTAATAAGAAGTTGGCTTTGTGTTGTTGGAAAACCTAACATGTGCTGCATACATACAGTCTGTCACCATTATAATGAGCTGATGAGTGATACCCAATAGAAGAGAGAATCAAAACAAGAGACGCTGGCTTTCATACAAAATAATTTTTATTTTTGATGAAAAACTATAATTAAACAAAATAGAGGTCTGTGAAAAATAACACCTATTTTTCAACTCTACAAACACTTTGAGAAAATAGTTACATCTTGACTTTGACTGTGCAATTGAGACTACAATGATTTTCTCAGAATCCATTGAACATTGCACAACATTTTAGGGCCATATCAAAATAAGGGATGAAAATACACCATTGTCTGCATCTTCAGTACAATCAATGGTCACTGTGAAGACACTACAGTTCTTTCATTGCTATACTTTGAACAAAAATTTGCTCTGCGCTGCTGGGTCTCCTAACAAAAGCAAAGAACAGACTTCAAACGGAAACAGAAGCCTCGCCGATTGTCATACAAAGACTAAATAAATGCAAAATAAAAAATAATGCAATACAAATGTATTTACTGTCTCCTAGACTGGAGAAAACATCTTCACATTGTCACTCACATCCAACAACATGACTGGTTATCTGCCACGTGGCAGCAGTTTACGCGTGGACCTGATGGCTGTCGAACTGATAGGAGAACGACGAGTGGATGTAGTCCTGTTCAGCAGGAGAGTCGTACGTCATCAGGCAGGAGTAGTTTTCAGGCTGCACACAGTCAAACTGCAGGTCCAGCCACTGCCGGTGAGGAGCAGTGTGCCTCCTGGCGTCTGTCAGGATCCGGTTCAGGGCCATGATGTAGCTCAGGGCCATCTGCAGGGTTTCATACTTGGACAGTTTCTTGTCTTGGCCCCACTGAGGAACCACTTTACGCAGGCGATCGAAGGCTGTGTTCAAACCCTGCATCCTCTTCCTCTCTCTGGCGTTGGCAGCCATCCGTCGCCTCGTGGCGGTCTCGTACTTCTCTGGGCTCTTGGAGTCCGGCTCCGAGGACTCAGATCCAGAGTCGGTGCAGCTGGCTCGACGGGACTTCATGGTTTTTGTTAGAAGAATCAATCTGTGGTCAGATCGGAAACACTCAGCTACAAATTAGCAGATTTATCGCAGGAGTTCCCAGTTTCAAGGTTCTTCAAGGGTTCCTCTGTGTTACAGCCTCGTTTAGTGTCCACGCTGGGTGTCCTGATATTTGTAAGTCCAGGTAGTGGACAGTCTGAGGAGTCCAAGGTGTCTGTGATCCTGGAGACAGTGAGGCAGCAGCTTTTATAAGACGGAGCAGATGAACAGGTGGCAGCAGGTGGAGTCCCCCTCCACCCCTTCCTCAATATTGCTCATAGAGAAACACACCCATGCAGACTCATAAACACCCACACCCACTCTCTGCACACACACACACACACACACACACACACACACACAGGCATATATACACACACTCAGCACACCCACAAACAAAACCTTAATGAAATTCCAATTATCTCGGGCTTCGCTCGTTGCCATGTGTCACAAACACCAAAAGTCTACCATCTGGTAGCTCAAGTCACCACAGCTGATGGTGCAAACAAACTTTTTATGGCTTAAATTGTAGACATTTTCCAGTTTTCCACTCTTAACTATTAAGAACTGAACCCATAATTTAACTTTCAAGTAAACAGAATAATAATAAATGAAATGCTGCATGAATATAAAATGAATCAATTCATCAGTATTTCAGAAATTCAAATGTCTTCTTTTGTAATTTAGCATTTTTCTGTGTTCTGTCGTTTTAATAAATGTGTGGCTCAGGCATTGTTTTATGTGCCTCAGAGTTTAGTGTGTGGATATCACTACCTTGTGTTTTACTTTTTCATAAATTTAACATGTAATCTTTTAAAGCACCTCAGCTTTGGGGTTATGAGATTTTATTTGGTTACATAAGGAATCAAAAAGTTCCCTTTCACTTCTCATGTAATTGGCCACCATGTGATGAGAACTATAATCTGAGATTAGCCCGAGGCAACAGAAGTGTAAGTGGGGCCTGTAACCTGAGGGATTTTAGCAGCACATCAGGGGATTATGGCTCTCAAACAATATGGACCAAGATGGTGTGAAGATTACTGCACCACTGAAGGTTTTTGGCAGCACTTTGGGTGCAAATGTTTAAATCTCCTTTTATCAGTGATGGATTACAGTATACAGGATGCATTAAGGCGCCTTATGTACTGGGGAGCACATGTGAAATAAATAATTGATCTGTTTAGTCGGCCGAGAAAATGAGACAGACAGAATAATTTGTCTGTCTGTCCGTCCCATCTGCCAGCATTGAATTCTGTAATTCAGCAGGTTCCTGTGGCACATAGACACAGCCTAAAACACAAGAAGTAAAAGTTGGATCACAGTGGCTATATGTATTGTCAGTTCTGCAGTTTTATTTGTACTTCGCCGGAGCATTTTAATGTTATAAAAAAAACCTTCTACTTAACTGCTGTCAGAGAGACACATTATACTTAATACACATTTTACTCTCAGCTACCGTTACGCTCAGGATTGCAATTTTTTATGAAACATGATCATTTTTAAATATCCCAGCATTGAAAAGCAGTCAAAGTGAACTCCAAATTAAAGCTCACACACGAATGCATCAGTTATTATAATCCTCACATATTATAGGCAGAAGTATATAGCATTTGTAGGTTAAATGTTGAACACAGGAATTTCAATTGTAATTTAATACTTTAATATGAATTTATTGCTACTTTTATTTACCGAACTTAGTAGAATACATCTTCAGGTTTTTTATTTTCTGATGCCATCCTTTGTCGGGGTCAACATATAGGTCCTGTCACTGTGTATTGACAGACTCAAAGCTTGGGTGTAGAGGCAGGTTATGAATGATTAATCACTGTCGGAGGCATAGAATAATGCCTCTCTCTGGTATTGGGTCATGCACACAAGCTGATGCTGTCTGCTCATTTTGAGATGGACTGGTTAGCTGTGCAGTTAGGCATATAATCCCATCTACCAGTTGGTTCATTGATTACAGAT